TGTTGAAGGCCTTCCCCTCTTTCGTCGACTCTCTACCTTACCAAGCATGACATCCTTCTCCAGGGAATGGTCCCTTCTGACATGACCAAAGTAGATAAGACAAAGTCTGGCCATTCTCGCTTCCAAGGAGCATTCCAGCTGCACTTCTTCCAAGACAGATTTGTTAGTTCTTTTAGCAGTCCATGGTACTTTCAGCATTCTTCGCCAGCACCACAATTCAAAAGCATCAACTCTTCTTTGGTCTTCCTTATTCATTGTCCAGCTCTCACATGCATATGAGACGATTGAAAATATCATGACTTGTGTCAGACACACCTTAGTGCTCAAGGAGACATCTTTGCTCCCCAGCACTTGAAAGAGGTCCTTTGCAGCAGACTTGCCCAGTGCTATACATCACCTAAGGAGCTCTGGTAGCATAGTGCCTAAGGCACTTGACTGCTAAACAGAAAGCTAGTGGTTCAAACCCACGAGCCACTCCTCAGAGGGAAGGTTGGGCAATCTAAATTCCGCAGTGATACTGCCTCAGAAACCCAAGGAGGGGTCGCTATGAGTTGGGGCCGACTCAACGGCACATAACAACAACAACATACATCATCTAATGTCTTGACTGCTGCTTCCATTGGCATCGATTGTAGAACCAAGCAAAGTGAAGTCTATGACAAAGTCTTTTCTCCATTTATCATGATGCTGCTTATAGGTTCAGTTGTGAGGATTTTTGTTTTCTTTATATTGAGATGTAATCCATACTGCAGACTGTATTCTTCAGTCTTCATCAGTAAATGCCTCAAGTTATCCTCACTTTCAGAAAGTAAAGTTGTGTCATCAGCATATAGCAGGTTGTTAATGATTCTTTCTCCAAACTTGATGCCATGTTCTTCTTCATATAGTCCAGCTTCTCGGATTATTTGCTCAATATATAGATTGATAAGTATGGTGAAAGGATACAACTCTGACTCACTCCCTTCTTGATTTTAAACCACGCAGTGTTCCCTTGTTCTGTTCGAACGACAGCCTCCTGGTCAATGTACAGGTTCCTCATGAGTATGCTTAAGTGTTCACGAATTCCCATTCTTCTCAGTGTTATCCACAATTTGTCATGATCCACAAAATCAAATGCCTTTGCATAGTCAATAAAACACAGGTAAATATCTTTCTGGTATTCTTTGCCTTGAGCCAAGACCCATCTGACAAAAACTACATCTTGGAATTGAGGAAATGATATATTACAAATATTTTCCCCAGTATGTCTTTGCTTTTAATTATGGAAATATGAACATAAAAAAAATAAAATTTTCATGTGGCCAAAACTATCTGTCCTGATACGATTAGAAAGGCCTTCCCCACCCCACGATTCTATAAAACAGATTTCTTATATTTTGTTTAAATTACTGAAGTAATACATGTTTATGGTAAACTATCAAAATAGGAAAGAGCCCTCTCTCCTTTATTCCCTCAGCACACGCTCTCCCCTTGTTCTCACCCTTGTGAAGGCTGCATTCATTAGTTCCAATCTTGTCTGTACTTACATAAGTGTTCAATACATGTGTGTTCACTGGACTCAAAGAGGATGCAGTTGACTAGATGTGAAAAGTGGGGGGAGAGAACCGATCCCTACACCAATGCATGGTTGTGGGTGTTCTGCTTCTGGAAAAGGACAGTTTCGTCTTGCAGCCCAGCCAGGATCAGGTGCTAGAGGATGGATAGCATTGCTCTGATGCCTCTTACCTGGCTGGGCTCCCCTTGTAGCAGCGCTTGCATGCCTGGGCTGGAACCCCTGCATTGCTTGGTCCAATCTACAGCTACAGCTCCAACCAATCACGGCCACCTCACTTCTCTCCTTGCCTCAGGATCCCAGACTCTCTGGGGCCCAGCCTGGGGCACTGTGGGCAGACTCCAGAGGACATGTGCTGCGAAAGACCTTTTTAAAGGGTTAAGGAGCAAAGATGGCACTTTTAACACTACAGTGTGCCTAACCAAAGCCATGGTGTATATTCAATTGCCCCATATGTATGTAAAAGCTGAACAATTAAATAAGGAAGAGCAAAAAAGGGTTGATGTCTTTGAATTGTGGTGGTGGTGGTGAATACTGAAAATAGCATGGACTGCCCGAAGAACACATAAATCTGTCCTGGAAGATGTGCACCGGAATGCCTCTTAGAAGTGAGAATGGACAGTCTTCATCTCACCTACTTTGGTCATGTTGTCAGAAGGGACCAGTCCCTGGAGAAGGACATCATGTTTGGTAAAGTAGAAGGTCGGAGGAAAAGGGAAGGCCATCAAGGAGATGGACTGACACAGTGGCTGGATCGAGGAGCTCTCAAGCATAGAAGGGATTGTGAGCATGGGGAAGGACTGGGCAGTGTTTCCTTCTGCTGCAAAGAGTCGCCATGAGTCGGAGCTGACTCAATGGCATCTGACACCAACAAAGGTTAATATCCCTAACCTGAAACGAATTTTGTCTAAAAAAAGATGGCGACAAAACAACAGATGACATGGCTAGAAAGATGTGAAAGTATGCTCCCTCAGCCACGCCAGCGTACGGCGAAAATCATATAGAACACCAGTGAAAAGAGGAGCCTCTCACTTTTGCAAAGATCAATGATTTCAAACGCTGGCGACACCGTGGGCACTCTCGCCTGGTGCTAAGGAGAGTGTACACGGATATATTCTTTTTACTGGTACTGGTCCTCACACCCAGCACTTCCAAAACTAGAGCCTTTCCTAGAGCATACACGGACGCAAGGCTGCACGTCTGAGGCTTTTCACTGCAGCGACCTCAGCTCCTGCCAGGCCCCCGAGCTGTGCGCTCCCCCGTGCGCCCCCTGACTACCGAGCAGGACCTGAATCGGGGGTTCCTGGTGCGTGCCCACAAGTGTTTTCTGATTTGGAAAAGGTGACGAACTATGCCTGGGCTCAGAAGCGAAGCGGGACACCGTCGGCCGCGGTCGGATTCTCCTAAAGGACCCTCCTTTGGTTCCCGGCGGCGGGGCTGTGAACCATCGAGATGGCCGAGCTTCCAAGTCGCCCAGAGAGGCCGGAAGTCCTCGAGGCAGGGCGGTCACGAACGCCTGAGGCCGGCTTCCGGCGTCGTCGCGTTCGCAAGCCTCGGGCGGTCCTCTGGGAGGGTGAGTCTGCGCGGCGGGCGCGGAGGCCGAGTCGGAGCGGGCAGCGTGCTCTCTGCCCTCGGGCGGGGCAGCTGCTGTTCCCCGCACCCTTCCACTTCCGGCCCTTCGAGCCGGGCCTGCTGGCTCGGGGCTGCCTCAGGCTCGCCCCGGTCCCGCCCGGCCTCCGCCGGGAAAGTGCTGTTCGGCCGGGGGCCTGCAGAGGCCGTGCGCGCCCGGCGGCGGAGCTGCTCGAGCCCGAGCACTTGAGCCGGAGTCAGTTGGGGCGGGACTCGCTGGCCGCGTGCAGCTGCTCCGTCGGGCCTGAGCGAGGCGGGCACCAGCCGCTGCCTCCCCTGCAGTCTCTCAGCTTCAGGGGACCCTTAGGTTCCCCTAAGAGCGCGCCCTCTAGACCCTCTTTTCCCTCCCTGCGCCTCGAAGGCCTGCAATTAATGACAGTGAGAAAAAGGGCAGTGCCGTGGGCGGGGAAGGCTTTTGGTTTTGGCCTGCATCTCTGGTTGTTGCACAGGGGACCCAGGATCCCCGAGTGGCAGCTGCACCCCTGTCGGCCAGGCGCTAAGTGGAGGCCCTCCTCAGTCGATCCTGTGGGCTGAGCCAGCCTGGTTGTGCCTGCAAGCCACTTTCTGAGCCAAGAGTGCCTTTAGGAAGCCGTCTGTTCTACACTCTCCCAAGGGGATGCGTGGGGTAGGGGCCTGGGCCATGGCTCAGTTGGCTGCATCGGATCACAGTCCTGGGGTCGCTGCTGGGCTGAGACACGCTGTGGGTGGAGACGAGTTTCTGGGATTCAGGTCTGGCTCCACCTGCATCTTGTTGGGGATTTCTGAGGCCACACCTGCCTGGCTACAGTCCATGCTGGCTCCTGTCTACTTCAACCTCCAGTCACTCCCCACTTCTTGCTGCCTGTGATCCAGCCTCACTGGCACCACAACTGCATCCCTTCCTGCCTCAGGCCTTTTGCACATGCTGTTTCTGCCCTACCGAGTGCTCTCACCTCCATGTGCTTGGCCTGGTAAACTACTGTGTAGATCTTGTTACTTTTCTTAGGTTGAGTCATTTTTCTACCGTAAATGCTCTCAGACTTTCCCATACTTCAGCACTGTCACAGTTGTGATTTTGTGTTTGTGTGATCATTCAGTTTTCTCCCCTAGACTGCTCCATGAAGCCAGGGTCCTTGTCCATTTGTTCACTGCTGTACTCCCTTGTGCAGTTGAGTGTCTGGTCATGGAAGTGGTCATTATGTGTTTCTGGAGTGATTCTCTTTCTCACACACAAAGATGAAAATGAATGGAGCTTTCAGGGGGATGTTTGGGAGACAGACACTCACTTGAGTCCTGTGGCCCAACCCCACTCCTGCCAGAGAACAACTAGGGTTGGAAGTAAAGGAGTGAAGAACGCAGACCCCACGGTTACCCTGGAAGTAGGAGATCTCCGACACCCTGACCTCTGTTCCCCTTCATAACTGCCCAGAGGGCTCTCAGCAGGACACTTGGACTACCACCAAGCCTCATGGTAGGAAGCCCCACAACTCCATGCCCTCACTTGCTTTGTGAGGGTCTCCCACTCCAGCCTGTGCTGGGCACCCACCCTGCCTGCTGGGCCCTTAGCCTAGTCCATGCTTGACCCTTGCCCAGGCATGCCCCTTTTGCTCCTACCACCGAGACAGTGGACAAACCCCTGCCCAGACCTGGGCCCAGCTGAAGCTCTGAGGTGGGAGGGTGTGTGCCATCACCATGGTCTGGGTTCTTCCTCTTCCCCTAGGTTGCCACTCCCCTGGGTTTCAGAGCCAAAGGGCCTTGGTGACCTAACCCTATGATGCACCTGGCACAGACAGGCTGAGAGGCAATGCCATGGTGGGCTGGCACCCAGCTTTCCCTGGGGCATTGGTGTTTGTGCTTTCAGGAGGCGGTGACGTTTGGTGATGTGGCTGTGCACTTCTCACGGGAGGAGTGGCAGTGTCTGGACCGCAGCCAGAGAGCCCTCTACAGGGAGGTGATGCTGGAGAACCACAGCAGTGTGGCTGGACTCGGTGAGGCTGCGCCTCAGGACCCCCTCCATGGTATCATCAGCACCTGCCCACCCCAGCTGGGGTACAGAGGCCTTGCACTCAGGCTCTGAGAGGTTAATGGGTCTTGAGCCTGCGAGTCTTTGGGGCTTCATGTTGCCAGCCTGTAAGGTGGGAGTGATGGGCCTGGAGCTGGAAGTTTATCAAACCAAACTCGCTGCCGTGAAGTTGATTCTGACTCATAGAGATGCCCATTGGATTTCCAAGGCGGTAAATCTTTATGGAAGTAGATTGCCCTGTTTTCCTTCTGTGGAGCAGCTGGTGGGTTTGCACCATCAGCCTTCTGGTTAGCAGTCACATGCCTCAGGCACTCTGGCACCAGAGCTCTTTGGACGAATTTATGGAGATGGAAATATTTGTACCTTCAAGTTTTTGGTAGAACTCACCTGTAAAACCATCTGGACCTGGGCTTGTGGGGAAGGAAAGTCTTGGACTAGTATTTCCGTCTCTTTCGTGGTTAGCTATTCAAGGCTTTTAAGTCTTTCTTGTGGTAATTTGTCATTTCTAGTTTTTATTGAAATTGCTCTATTTCATTTAAATTTTTGAATTAAAGAACCAGCTATTCCTTTTGCTAATGGATTTATTATTACTGTGTTTTTGTTCTCTATTTCATTAAATCCTGCCCTGTCTTTATTATTTCATTCCTTCTTATTTCTTTGGGTTTGCTGTGTTGTGTTCCCAGCTTTTTGAGTTTAATGTTTAACTCATTTGTGTTTTCTTATTCTTGTTTCAAGTTGTTGTTAGGTGCTGTTGACTCAATTGTGACCCTTACTGACTCCTTTGGACAGAGTAGAACTGCACTATAGGGTTTTCTTGGGTGTAATCTTTACAGAAGTAGGATCACCAGCTCTGTTTCAGAGCTTTTGGGTGGGTTCTAACTGCCAACCTTGGTTGGCAGCCAAGTGTCTGTTTTGTGCTGCCAGGCTTTATTAAAATATTAAGTGCCATCTTTAAGTACTGCTCTAGCTGGGTTCTGGCTCCTCACACAAATGGTTCAGCACTTTGCTACAAACCAGAAAAGTTGTTGGATTGAACCTACCCAAAGGCGCCTTGGTAGGAGGGCCTGGAGATCTGTTTCCAAAGAGTCAGTTGTTAGAAACCTCGTGGAGCAAGTTGTACTCTGACAACGTGGGGTTGCTCTGAGTTGGTGTTGACTCCATGGCAACTGCTTTTTTTTGGCTGTGTCCTTCACTTCTTGCATGATAGTAAATACACTGCTGTGTCATTATTTGTTATTTAGTTCCTAAGTATGTAGTAGTTTCTAAGTTAATTTCTAATTTAATTGCATTTTGATGAGGTACATAGTCTGGGATACTGTTCCTTTAGATTGTACCAAGACTCCTTTAATGGCCTAAGACTTGTTTTTTTCTGTAAGCATTCCTTGTGTGTTTAAAAAGAGTGTGTGCATTTAGTTGTGAGCAGTGTTAGGCGCACATCTGATAGCTTGAGCTTGTTGAATACAGACTCTTTGTATCTGTCACCTGTGCCTCTTACTCTACAGCAGGAAACTGGGAGAAGCTTCCACATGGAGGCTTTGGCCAACCTTTCCTCCTAGATGGAATGCCTGTCCCTGTGCCACCTAGCGCTGACAAAGTGGGGCAGGTGCTGGGATGGCACTAAGAAGGCAGATGCCCATGAAAGCCCACAGTGCCCAGCACCCTTGATTTGGAGAGAAAAGCAGGATGGGAGGGGGTTGGCAAGGCACGGATTGTAATAGCATCCTCTGGTGTAAGGGCTGCTTCATTGGTTTGTTTTGTGGTTGTCTTGTTTTTAACTGACTCATCTCTGAAACTGTCTTCCTCCCTGCACCAAGGAGATAGTTTTGTCCAGCTGAGGAAGACATTGATAGCTTCTTTTTCCCACTCCTGCGAGGTCCTGGAGGTGGAGCTTGCCTGCTCTTTGTGGGCTCTTTGGTGCTAGGACTCAATGAAGACAGTGGCCCTGCTGCAGACAAAGCCTGAGCTAGGAATGTAGCTGTCCTTCATTGGCCTCAGGAGTGTCCTGTGTACCCTCATTCCCAGATCCTTTTCCCTCCACCCCCCTCAGAGAATCTTTCTGTATCCCACACTTCTCCACCCCTAGAAGCCAGTAAGGAGTTTGCACACTATGCTGCCCCACCCCCCATGCCAATGAGCTGCTCTGCCTGTCCCCCAGCAGGAGTCCTGGTCTTCAAGCCCGAGCTGATCTCCCGCCTGGAGCAGGGGCAGGAGCCGTGGGTACTGGACCTTCAGGGATCAGAAGGCAGAGAGATGCCAAGGACCTCCCAGACAGGTGAGACTCAGGCCCTAAGGTGCCCCCTCTCTCTGGTCCCCAGGCCCTCTGCATCCTGCCCAGACCCCTGCCACAGAGAATCTCCAGGCAGGAGGAGGAGAAGGGGCTCAGAAACCAGGCCAGAAACCTGGACTGGGTATCCATGGGCCCCTTGAGACACCTGGGACCACTCTCACGGTGGGAACACCCCAGGTGGGGGGCTGTCCTCAGTGGAGGCTGTGATCCACAGAAAAGCAAGGACACAAAACACTTGTATATTGTGGCAAAAATGGAATTTTGTTTTAAAATTGTACATTCTGTTCAGTTTCTCATTTTGTTAATGCTCTGGTTAAAGCAAAGGCACAAATGTGCCCAGCTAAGCATTCTTGTCTTTAAACTTAACCCATAGCAGCCTCTCTGTAGTAAACATCATCCCTGAGATGATCCCCTGGCTCCAGGACACTGACTGCTTCACACCTCTTGCTCACACAAAGCTGTTGGGGCAGCAGGTTGTATGTATCAACAAGAAATGCCTCCCCACAGTTGCCCTGTCCCCATGGTTACTGCTACAGATGGTAGGACTGGCCCTGTAGGAGGACCACCCAGAATTACAGAAAATAGGGAATATGTGCCCAGGCAGCCTAGAAGGGCACTGAAGGAGTGTTCTCAAAGCAGGGTCACCTGCCTGCCTGGAGTCTCATCACATGTACCTTGTGCTGTTTTGTGGAGTCTTGTCACACATACTCCAGGTGCATTCTGGGGTCTTGCCATACACACATCAGCATATGCTGTGAGGTCTCCTATACATGCCAGCAGGGTGCACTGTGGTGCTGCCATTGGCCCCAGAGGTCAGGTCTGGTGTGTAGGAAGGAGGGGGAGAGGGTCAGGAGCCTCACCCCGCACAGCCTTCACATTGGCCAGGTCCTGTCCTATCCCTGTACTGCTCTCCTGTTCTGACTCTTCTCATCTTCCCTAGGAAGCGGGGGAAGAAGAGGCTGATGCAGTTGAATCTCAGCTTCCATTCAGTGTTGTAAAGGTTGGGATGATTTTAAAGAAGGCACCAAGGCAGCGAGGCCAGCTGTAGTTGGCAGGCTTTTCACACAGTGGATGGTCATCGTGGTGACAAAGTGACAACAAAAGCAACACTGCAGCACAGACCCAGAGCTGCTGCTGTTTCCCAGAGCTCATTCCTGGAGGTGGAAGCTCAGGGCAGGAGTGAGACATCTTAGGGGAGAATGTACCACAGTGTAACCCCAGAACATGCCGAGAAGAAACGTAACTGTCCAGATAGGCCATTTGGAATGGCTGGGTCACTGGCACCTGCAGGAGGTGAGGCCCAGGGTACAGGTACTCTGCCAGGAAGGGCACAACTTGCAGCTGTCCCCTCTCTAGTCCCTTGTGTAAATCACAGCCCCTGATGGGTGCTCACAAAAGGTGGCCACTGGTGGGCCGCCAGTCTGGTCTGTACTCTCTGCCTTGAGACCAGGACTGACCAGTTCAGTGGTAAGGAGAAACAAGGTCCCAGAATTGGTGCTGCTGCTGGGGCACTGGGACAGTGGCAGCAGCAGGAGATTGTCTGGGAAGGAGAGCAGCTCTGGCTTCATTGTGTTTCCTTAGATGTGAGAGTTTAGAAATGCATCCCCAGCTGTCTGTAGACAGTAACAGCAAACCAGAGAGGAAGTTTCAGAGTAGCTGGAATAGGTTGTGGCTTCTTGGTCCTTCAGTCAGCAGTGCTTTTGGCTGCAAGTGACTTAAACACATGGTGGTTTTATTTCTTGTATACAGCAGGAGGTCCTGGGCTGGCATAGGGCTCAGCAGTGCCCTCTATCTCCTATGTCCCTCCCACCTCCTTGGTGTATGATTTCCATCCTTGTGATTGAAGAGACATGGCCGCTGCATGCCTGGCAGAAGGAGGGCAGAGGGGAAGCAGTGCCTGTCCCAGGTCTGTGCCCAGCTGCAAGGGAGTCTGGAAGTTCTGCTCTCTCACCTCTACATCAGGGGATGCAAAGGAGAAGGGTGCTGGAATGGGGATTGAGCAGCCAACACACAGTGTTTGCCATTCCTACAAGGAACAGGTTTGCCAAGGTTGTGTGCTTGTGTGGGAAGAGAAGTGGGAGGAAAAGGCCTAGAGACTGCCCTCTGTGTCCAGTGGTACCTGGCATATCCTTGGTGCACAGTGAGGCTGGAAAAGTGTCACTTGAGGGTTGGACTAACCTGGGTTCCATTCTTGATTCTCTCATTAGCTTTGTGTGACCTTGGGCAAGTTGCTTAATCTCTCTGAGCCCCCATCTCTTTACCTGTGGAATAGGGATACTACTCCTGACATCATTGGGTCATTGTGAAGACTCATTGAGAAACACCAGGCACTGTTCCTTGTATCTAGAGATACTCAGTAAATGGTAGCCCACTTCCTCACAAAGAGACACTCCAGGACCAAGGTCTTTGGAAGCTTGAGCCTCAGTCATTGCCCACGAGGAGTAGGCTGTGGCTGTGGGAGCAGAAACAGGCTGGAGGTTCATGTGGCAGCTGGTGGTTATGATCACAGGCAGCACAGAGGTGACTGGCTTTAGCAAAGGTGGTCTCAGAGGAGAGTAAGAAAGAAGCTGCCCTGTACTTAATAGTCCAGAGGGAAGGGTTTAGGAAGTCAGTGTGGGTTGGTATGTGTGGCCACTTGGAAACTGAAGTACAGGCAAGCAAGAGTTGTGTCCAGGTGCACCTTGGGAGGCAGTAGCTCTTGGGAGGGCCAGAGAGGAAGCAAAAAGCTCAAGTCTGGAGTCTTGCTCAGAGAACCCCAATTGGGTGACAGATGTGGTTGAGGCTGCCCAGAGGGGGTTATGCCCAGCTTTCATTTGGGCTCACCTCTTTAAGCCCCTCTGCAGCTATTCAACCTCAGTTTTTCTTATTATCTATCTAGTCCCTCTATTCAGTTTTGAAACTCCCTTCTTTCCCTTCACTCTCCTGCTCTATGACATCTCCATTTTTTTGGGCACTTGGAGCCTCACACCTTCTTAGCCTAATCCTTTGTCTTGGGAAACTCTCCACCCTTCTCCACTTACTTCACACTTTGCTTTTATGGATTTCTTCTCCCACAAGTTCTCTGTAGGATGAATTTTTCTGAAAATGTACTCTTCTCTTAGGATGTATAGCTCTCAGCACTCTGCCTAGGACATAATGAGCATATGATCATTGTCAAATGGAAAGATGAGTCATGTAAAAAGTGTGAATGAAAGTACATTTTGAGAACTGTCCAACATGTCAATCTCTCCTTAGTGTTTTCACATAGGACATCACCATGCCCTAGGCATCCTGCCTGGGATGGGACTCAGTTCCCCCAGTGACAAACCACCCTCCTTCCTCTGAGCACAGGGACTAAAGAATGTTTTTTATTTTATTTCAGATTCTACTATTAGGATGAATAATGAGCAGACTTGCGAGGAAATGGATATTCTAAAATCGGAATTACATGGAATGAGGATCAAAATCCCCCCACAGGATTTTCCTCCAAGTCCTGGCTTTATAGATGCTTCTGATTCTGAGGTGTGGCTAGAAAGTAATCAGAGCAGTTCTCTTAGGCTGACGGGGACGAACTCCTTCTTCCAGAAAAACTGTTTAAATAAAGAGACTATGACACTGAAGAAGACCTTCACCCAGAATAACTCCCAGGAATGTAATGAGGTGGGGAGTATTGGCAGCCTGGACTGTAAAATTAATGAGAATCAGAGAGATACTGCCAAAGAGACAGTAGAAAGATGTGATGGGTGTGGCAGAAGTTTGAGATCCATTTCAGACTTTGCTTTACGTTGGGAAGTTAATATGCAAAAGAAACCTAACAAATGCCAGGAATGCCAAAAAAAATTCTCTCATTGCTTACAGGGGAAACAGCAAAGTAATTTCCAAGGAGAAAAACCATATGAATGTGAGGAATGTGGGAAAGTCTTCAGGTTGTGTTCACAGCTTAATCAACATCAGAGAATCCACACTGGAGAGAAGCCATTTAAGTGCACAGAGTGTGGAAAAGCCTTCCGCCTGAGCTCCAAACTTATTCAGCATCAAAGGATTCACACTGGAGAGAAACCTTACAGGTGTGAGGAGTGTGGAAAAGCCTTTGGTCAGAGCTCAAGTCTCATCCACCATCAGAGAATTCATACAGGAGAGCGGCCCTATGGTTGTCGTGAGTGTGGGAAAGCCTTCAGTCAGCAGTCCCAGCTGATCAGACACCAGAGGACTCATACTGGAGAGAGGCCTTACACATGTAAGGAATGTGGGAAGGCCTTTAGCCAGAGCTCAACCCTAGCTCAACATCAGAAAATGCACTCTGGCGAGAAATCTCAAATCTTGAGAACCTCGGATAGTCCGAGCCTTGCTCCACATCAAAGAATTCACGCTGTAGAAAAGCCATTTAAATGTGATGAGTGTGGGAAAGCTTTTAGATGGATATCTCGCCTTAGTCAGCATCAATTAATCCACACTGGAGAGAAACCTTATAAATGTAACAAGTGCACAAAAGCCTTTGGTTGTAGCTCACGGCTTATTCGCCATCAGAGAACTCACACTGGAGAAAAGCCATTTAAGTGTGATGAGTGTGGGAAGGGTTTTGTCCAGGGGTCACACCTTATTCAGCACCAGAGAATTCATACTGGAGAGAAACCTTATGCATGTAATGACTGTGGCAAAGCCTTTAGTCAGAGCTCAAGCCTTATTTACCACCAGAGAATCCATAAGGGAGAGAAACCGTATGAATGCCTCGAATGTGGAAAAGCTTTCAGTATGAGCACACAGCTTACAATCCATCAAAGGATACACACTGGAGAGAGACCCTACAAGTGTAATGAATGTGGGAAAGCCTTTAGTCAAAATTCAACCCTTTTCCAACACCAGATCATTCATGCTGGAGTGAAGCCCTATGAATGTAGTGAATGTGGGAAAGCATTTAGTCGCAGTTCATATCTTATTGAACACCAGAGAATTCACACAAGAGCTCAGTGGTATTATGAATATGGGAATGCCCTGGAAGGTTCAACCTTTGTGAGCCGTAAAAAAGCTAATACTGTAAAGAAATTGCATAAATGTAATGAATGTGAGAAAATATTCAGGTGGCGCTCACACCTAATTATACACCAGAGAATTCACACAGGAGAGAAACCTTATAAATGTAATGAATGTGGGAAAGCTTTTAATCGGAGCTCAAGACTTACTCACCATCAGAAAAGTCATATGGGGTAGAACATTTACATTTACAAATGTGAATAAACCCTACAGCCTTAAATCACTTATATAGGATCATTTATTCTGTCGAAAGAATGTTGGGAAAGATTTAATTGTTCTCTTAAAGAGAATATCCAAATCCATACAAAGTGTATGTTATTTCTTGGTATGTTTGACCTTGTTCCATCCAATAAAGGCTATGTTCCTCACATTCCAGGTCCACATCTGTAGTTTAGAGTTCACAGGTGACTCTAGGTCCATGAGTATGAGAAAGTTGGTGAGAACTACCCTTTGAGTTCTGCCAAACTGAGGAAGTTAAAAGGTTACTCAGTATTTTCCTTTGAGGATCACTTATACTCAAAGTGATTTAAAGAATAGGGAACTTTATTAGCTTTCATAAGACAAAGTCTAGAGGAACATTGCTTAGAACCCCCTTTTCTCAACTTCTGACTCTTTTTCTTTAAAACTCACCCCACATTGGAGTAGCCCTCTTCAGAGGAATGGCTAGGTTGGCAGAGTACCCATTGCCAATGTGGGCATCTTTCCCAGAGCACAAATTTGTGCCAGCACTCCAAAAATAGTCCTGGTGTCATGACGGGTATGTGAAGTCACAGGTGGGGTCCAGGGATTTAGTGTATGACCCTGAGGCCTCATTTGCCTTCACTGAAATTCAGAGCCTATTTCCTTTTCTGAAAAATGTAAGGATTAAACAACGCACAAGAACACCCCTCACTATGCACCCCTCACTCACTGGGCACAGACTAGTAACTTGCCTAAGGTTCCATGAGACTGAAGAATGAGGCTGGTCCTTGGGTGATGGCAGAGCCAGTTTGTTCCCACACCCCCTGGTGGAGGCAGGGATTTTATGGCTCTGGCAAAACGGTGGTTTGGTGCCAGGGTCCTGGACCTCCAAGGACATCTCAGCAAGTATTAAGAATGATTTAGGAAGCAGAACTCGGCAAACAGCAACCAAGAGTGTAGCCCTATTAAGCCTCACAAAAGCCTGTCCCCTTCACTATGCCTTGCCTGGCAGGTAACCACTAGCATGAGTGAGTGCGGGTTCCCACATCTCACTCTCTTACCCCTTCCCAAGCCCAGAGCCAAGACCTGAACCAGCTTTCCCAGCCATGCCCCAACTCACAGACTTTGACCATGTGGGCTAGATGACGCATCTAGCACTGGCTCAGCTCTCCACTGTAGATGCCATCTAGAGGCATCTACAATGCTGCATAACCAATGATTTCCAAAACTTCACCTTAAAACGGCAAACTGTTAAGCACCGTGAAGGACTTATGCTAACAAGGGATGTGGCAAAGGATACCAGGTTTCTCACAGCAGAACCTGCATTCAGGTGTTAGTGTGGTCATAGGCATTCCCCTTGTACTCACTGAGTCCCATGATACTGTGTAGGGGGGGGGGGGTCAGCAAGGAGCACTAAGATTGGGAAGTTACAGCTTTTACAGTGAGTGGGGAGCATGTTCTGTCTTAGGGAGACATTACTTCATCCCTTGAGGTTGCTCACTGCCAACACAACCTTGAGAGATGGCCCAGGTGAAGAGGGGTCAGGCCATACAGGAAGAATGTACACACAAGCTTGGGTCCATAGTAGATCATCTCTCCAAGCAGCCTACACCTCAGCTTGGTGCATTCTTGGATAAACTCAAATTTTCACATAAGTCTGCCCTCCATTGGCTACTCCTTGGTTAACCCAAGGGTCTGAGAACAAACCTGGAACAAACCTGTTCCATTTGTCTAACATAGCATTTAATGAAGGCTGCTCTTCCCAGGATGAGGCCAACCTACACAACTGACTTCAACCCTATCCTTGGATCCTGGACTTCCCAACTATGAACAAGCCTAAGGGACTAGTAGATCTTTTTTCAGACAGCCAGGATGTAGCTTAAGTCTAGTCTATTCTCCACTGTGACCCACACAAGATCTTTGAAGTTGTTGCCAATAATTAATTGTGCCAGTGAGTTGATTCTGACTCACCCCTCCTTGGGCAAGTGTCACAAAGCTCTTTTAGCTCTGCCAGTAGGTGCACTTGGGTGTGTGTCACTCTGCTAGTAAGCCTCCTGCCCAAAGGCACTCATCTTTCCCACTCCATGGGCTGGCAAGCCTGCCACTCTGTCTCATGCCTCTTGGTTCTACTGCCACCATCTCTCAGTCAGGCATCTCCACCTCCAGTTATTCTCTCTTGAGGGCAATGAGATCCACTTCTGCCTCTGGGAGGGCCTAGCAGAATGACAAAACCAACCAATCTCCACTTTAGATTTCCATTCACCTTATTTGTATGGGCCCAAGCAGTAATCTGGTGGGAGTCACAGAAACTGGTTAGAAAGGCCATACCACATCATGGGAGGTGAGGTGGCATTGTTGATGTCAAACGGGTCTTGCCTGAAAGCAAAGAATACCAGAAAGTTGTTTACTTGGCTTTCTTTAGTATGCAAAGGCATTCAACTATGTGGATCATACCAAATTATGGATAACACTGTGAAGAATAGAATGGGAATTTGAGAACATGTAATTGTGCTCCTGCAGAACCAGTAAATAGACCAAGAGGCAGTCATTTGACTAGAAGAAGGGGCTACTGTGTGATTGAAAACCAGTGAAGTTGAGTGTCAGGGTTGTATCCTTTCACTATACTTATTCAATCTGTATGCTAAGCAAATAATCTGAGAAGCTGGGTTATATGAAGAATGTGGCATCAGGATTGGAAGAAGACTCATTAACAACCTGTGATATGTAGAGGATACAACTTGGCTTAAAAGCCAAGAGGACTTGAAGCACCTACTGATGAAGATCAAAGACTACAGCCTTCAATGTGGATTATCCTTCAATATAAAGAAAACAAAAATCCTTACAACTGAACTAATATGCAACGTTGTAAATGGAGAAAATATTCAAGTTTTCAGCGATTTTCTTTTACTTGGAAATCAACACCCATGGAAGCAGCAATCAAAATCTCATACTGCATTTGAGTAAATCTGCTGCAAAAGACCTCTTTAAAGTGTTATAAAGGAAAGCTGTCACTTTGATGACTACTAAAGTGCAACACCATTCCATGGTATTTTCAATCACCTCATATACATGTGATAGCTAGACAATGAATAAACGAGACCTAAGAGTTGATGCCTTTGAATTATGGTGTTGATGAAGAATAGTGAATATACCATGGACTGGCAGAAGAATGAACAGATCAGTCTTGGAAGGAGTACAGCTGGAATGTTGCTTGTAAGTGAGAATGTGAGACTTCATCTCAATACTTTGGATATGAGAATGGACCAGGCTCTAAAGAAGTACATAATGCTTGGTAAAATAGAGGGTCAGTAAAAAGGAGGATACTCAATGAGATGGACTGACACAGTGGCTGCAACAGTGGGCTCAAACATAGCAATGATTTTGACGATGGACGGGGCGGGCAGTATTCTGTTGTTTTATATAGGGTTGGCTTGAGCCAGAACCGACTTACCAGGACCTGACAAGAACAACCACAAAAGAAAAACCATCAGTCTGCCTCTTAGAATTTGTGGTGCAGTGAAATACTTGGTATGGCTTTTGTAGCCATGTTGTTGTTGTTGTTGTTGTTATGTGCTGTTGAGTTGGACCCGACTCATAGCGACCCCTCCTTGGGTTTCTGAGGCAGTATCATTACGGAAGTAGATTGCCCAACCTTTCTTCCGAGGAGTGGCTGATGGGTTTGAACCGCCAGCCTTCTGGTTAGCAGTCAAGTGCCTTAGACACTATGCTACCAGAGCTCCTTTTGTAGCCATAGTCTTTTGTGATTCCCACTGGATTACTGGGTGGGACCTTGCAAATAAGGTGTGTAGAACTCTGATGTTGGGATTAGTTAGTTTTGTCACTCTGCCAGGCTTAAAATGAGCCCTCATAGAGGCAGAGAGGGGATCTCACTACCATCAAGAGAGAAGAGCTGGAGGTGAAGTGGAGTGCGTCCTTGGACTTGAGATCCCTGCACTGGACCTCCTTGGCTGAGAGACATCCCGGTGGAAAGATGCCCCAGCAAGAGACAACGGCAGTGGAACCAAGTGGCATGAGACAGAGTGGCAGCCTAACCTGGCTCACAGAGGCAGAGGCCAGGCCAAGAGGCGAAGGGCCAGAGAGACGTGTCTGGAGGCACAACAGGAGACTGTCCTGATTGAAGAATTGTACCCTGAGTGTGCTCGTGAACCTGAATTGTAGCCTTTAGTTCCCTAATAAACCCCATAATCATGAGTTTTGTCTGTGAGTTCTGTGTGGCCACTGCAATGAAGTATCAAACTCAGCAGAGAAGTAGTGAGTACTGTGGGAGGGACAGATGGTGTCAGAATTGATAAAAAGCTGGAGGGCGGTGGCATGTCTGGCTTCACAGAAATCAGCCTTGGGCTGTTGGTGGTGATTCTGTCTTCTTCCTCTTGTGAAGTTAGAGGACAGAAGATACCCCCTCCCTGTCCTGTTTGCAAATCATTACTTAATATGGCTCTTCTAACCATGGTCTTTGTGACTCCCACCAGATGACTGGGGTGGGGGTGGGATTATGCAAATGTGAGGTGCTTGTGGACCCCCAAGGGGAGTGGATAACTTGCAAATAATGTAAATAAGAGATATATATA